TGAAATTGTCAATGTTCCATTCACCTCGACATGATATCTAAAAATTCAAAATATAACACACATTATCTACTAACCTACTTGTAAGAAAAAAAAAAAAAGAAAAAAAAACCTCATTTACATCAAAATGTACAGGGTCAGGTGAAAAGAGCATCTGACACACACGAGTAAACTAGAATTTATCATTAATATTTACATTAATGGATTTGTTGCACCCTTGTAACTCAAAAAGTATTTTCAGAGACATTAACAAGAAGTAACCGACTGAAAATATAGTACAACACATCAATCAAACAATGTACAGTTATAAAAATAGTGTTTAGTTACAATGTTCTTCATAAAGCTACTTTTCTTTATTAGTATCAGAATTTGGATGAAGTATATTTATCTAAAAGTACGTACAGTTTTGAAAAATGAGAATTTTGATGACAATTTTGTGCAATAAATGAACAGGTATAATTGGGTAAATATTTTTGATCCTTATGTCTTAACTGCAGTGCCGTTACTTGCCTCGGAATTTGAACATCTTCTGGTGGAAATTGATGAAGATTAAGTTTCCTGCTGGTTAAATTTAATTTGTTGGTAGCTGCATAAATAGATGCTTTGCAAAACAAGCTATTGAGCTAATATTTTACTGAAGAGTTTGCAATTTTTTTTTTTTTTAACGTAATATGGGGGTCACGGACCAGCTTTTTTCCAAGTTACCACCTATGTTTAAGCATGAACTTTACCTTGCTCATGTGAGACCAGACAATCTAGTTCCTTTTTTTTCATGCTTTTGCATGCTTCATTGTGAGTTCATCACTTCTTCACTTCATTCCTCCACTGCTATGAATTATTTTTAATTTATCGCAGGAGTTATTCACAAAACTGAAAAAAGATTGAACCAAAAGCATAAAACTAGGAGCATAACAGTTCACAGCTGAATTAGTTTAATATTTTTCGCAAATTCTCTAAAAATAAGTAAAAAATATAATACAAATTTGTACAACATGACTGAAACACCATGAGACAAGCAATATTTTACAAAAATTTTAAGCTTGAATTTGGATCAAAACTGTTGCCTGCGTAACTCTATAGAAACTATCCAATTCTACAGTTACATACTTGAGGTTTCTTAGGTCAAATCATTTGATGACATGATTTCAAGATGATGAAATGTTCCTTCTACTGTTTCAACGAATTAAAATAGCTTAAGGTTTCAACAATAACACTTAGAGCTTTGAATTTGAGTTTTTATACCCTCATGTTACTTAGGTTGGGCAAACCTTCAAAAGGTTCGAGCTGGCATTCTAGTTTAAGTACAGTTCAATTGGAAAATTTGTGCTCGGCAATTTTGCAATAGTTGGTATTTTGCCTGGCTCTTGCAAGTTTTTGTGGGTGCTAACTATTTTCTGCTTCCCAAAATTTAGTGGTTAAGCAGGTACTAATATCTAATTTTGATTTTTAAGATAGGTTGCAGTTTTTTGGAGAGTTCCGTTCTGTTGGTTTGGGTTTAGGAATCGTTTCAAAGGTTCAGTTTGGATCCAAAATTTCAAATTTGCACAACTTTTAAAATAATGAACCGCTCCTGTTGGGGGGGGGGGGGGGGTGTAATTTTTGAAGCCTAATTGCTTCCTGGTAAGGTTAATATTTTATTCGAAATCATGACTTGTTCTCTTTAAGAAAATGTGATGGAATAAAAATAAGAAGTAACACAGACAAAATGGGCTTTTAGAACTGACATCATTCCTAACCAAGTTGTACCTAGGTCTTAGTCACATGACCATCCTTAGAAATTTTAGCTGCTTTTGTGGCTGCTACCAAGAATGGAATCACACCCTCTTCAATACATTTTATTATTTGAATATTGCATAATACATATCGACAACGAAACTCCCAAAGCATGTATCTCCTTTGCAGTGTTTGAAAATCTCCACTCCTATTTTATTTCCTTTTGAGGCGAACAATTCAACATCATTCCTTGCAGCTTTTACAGAATTTTCTTCGCACAGAGAAGAAAAATAATGGGAGTTTTAAAGCATTGACGATGAGTAGTTATCAATTTGAAAGATAAAGTATGACAGGAAGTCTGCAACGTTGCAAAGCAAGATGAATGGTTTGGAAGTCTCACCATTGATATGCTTCAGTCCAGGCATACTCAGTATACATAGCATAAAGGTAAAATGTTCTTTCGGAAAGTTTACAAAATTATACATTTTAACACATTACAACCATGATGCTTCCAAATTATAACACCATTTCTGTCCCAAGGTGTCCTCTACATGCAAACTGATGGATGGGAATAGGCCTTGAGTTCAGCCAGAGGTAAATAAAGTAGTGAGTATCTTCTATAGTATCATGGGAATGATAAATATTTTTACAATCAATAATTCAAAATTCTGGTAAAGGCAGTGATAGTTTTTTTTCTCTCCCTGATGGCTGTTCAGTGTCGGGTTAAACTATATGTCTAACACATTTCCCAAAAATCAGATTTATGTGGAACATATTGCTCAAGGGTCATATCAAAGTTTAAGTGGTAGAACTTAGAGAGGAATTTTCTCCTGTAGGAAAAGAGCTACGGAGAAAGCTCTATTTGTCTTTGAGCTAGACAAAAGTTCTGGCCATTTTTGTTTATGTTATACAAAAGACTGTCTATCTCATTAAATTCTCTTGCAGACGTTATTCTATGAAAAAGAACATAATAAAAAAATATACAAATGTACAGAGAAACTTTTTTCAAATTCATTGTCTGAATCAACGTAGGAGTTAAAAAACAAACGTCAAATAAAAAAATTGTTTTGAATATTTTGGGTTTCTGTAGAAAAAATTGGACAATTTCTTTAACATAGCTCACCTTGCAATCAAAATGAAAATTGAATTCTCCACTCTTTTCTGAAGGAAGTTCCCATTGTAAGATGATTACAACTACCCTAGAAAAACCTTTGTTTTCCTTGATTGATAACTAAAAGAAATTTCTCTGTGCAGTATTGCTTTGGGTTTTTTGCAGTATTATGTTGCAATGTAATATGTTAAATAATTTTAGCATTGAAATTACTTGGAGATTCTTTGTTACTGGCTACATTAAGTTACTTTCAAAAGTTTCTTGCAGACAGTGGGGAAATACCAATGAAAAAGCAAAACGGTATATTTCCTTTGAAAAAAAAAAACACTTAAAGTCTGGATATCTTCTTCTTTTTTTGCTCCTATTATTATCTTTTATTTATATGCCAAAATATATAAGGAGAATAACTGTACGAGGCTGACTGAGAATAACTCTACATGTATTGCGAGATTAACTAGGTATATAATACACAGAACACCAACCTACTTACTCTTACAGGGAATTTAAACAAACAAGAGAAACTTTCTTTTCCTAAATTTTAAATTTTTTTCCTTCATAAAAAATGTTTTGACGGAGCCATTGATCAAAACTTGGACAAACAAGAATATTAATAGCAGCGGCAATTCTGAAAACTTTGGATTCCTCCAAGCATAGATATACATACAAAAATCATGATATCATTACAACAAAATAGTCTTCTTTCTTAAAACTATAGGGGAAACACAAGTTTTAAGAGGGTTTATAGTGCTCATTTGTAAGAATTTTTCCATTACATAGGTAAAGCTAGATTTATTCCCTTTTTTCCTCTTTCCTTCTTTTCTCTTTAATACAGCTCAACCCTTTTGGCGAAAATTGATTGACGTTTCATTTCAATACTTAACTGCATAGATGCTTGAACCAAAGATGAGAAATATACATCAATATGTTTTCAGTATTTCCACAGTAAAACTAAAAAAAAAAATCACATATCTTGTTTGCAAGTTTTCAAAAACTCCACTCCTATTTCATTTTTCAAAGGAGATCACAACTCCGTTACTGACACATCCACAGGATGTTCTTCACACAGAGAAGAAGGGGAAGTTTTCTCGAAACGACTTGAAAAAGAAAAATCAGGCAAATTTTCTAGAAAAGACATTGAGTATTTATTTATTTGAAAAAAATATTACGGCAGGAGGTTTGGAACATTGCAAAGCAATACATGCATTTTTGTAGTTTCACCGTGAATTTTTTATTTGTGATTGTTCTTAAACAAAAAAGGCTTAACAAGTTGCAAGTTGTTCATTTAGGTGCCAATGGGGTATGTAAAGTTGCAGTATAATTTGATAATAGCAATTTTTAGATCCTTACACGGAATGCTAAACCTTAGAATAGCGTTTCTTAAAAACTGAGTGATTCGAATTGCAAACTTAAAAACATCATAGATCCAGTTTGGTTTGACATTGTAGAACTCTATCTAATTATTACTCAGCACTCGAATGGTATGAATGTTTTCTCGAAACTCTGTTTTAACTTCATTTTGCATTTTTCACCACTAGCATCTCTTTTCCTGTGAATAGTCTCATTTACATTTTGCCTTTTTGTACAAAGGGAGTTCATTACACACATACTTATCAACTTTAAAAAAATCAGACTAAGGGTTCAGATTACCATAAGGAAGCATTATTACTCTGTTGATGAGTCACAAGCTCCAAAGTCAATTTCCATACTTTTGAATAAAGAATCATACTTCATTGTTGAGCAAACTATCAATTTTTTCATAGAATACATTCAATACATATACAACTAAACATGAATCCTCCAATTTCAATCGGATACTAAGATGAGTGGCAAATATGTTAGCTAAAACTAATCTTTCCATGAGAAGTTTTTGTGGATTATGCTAGCTTTTCGCTGAACGAAAAACGAAACAAGAAGAGTTAATTTACTTCCTAAGAGAGAAATTGGTAAGTAGTAGGCACACAGATATCAGCCAGATGACGACCTTCTTCAGAAGATCAAGATGGTGGTAAATTAGTGATAAAACCATCACCATTAATAAGCTCTGCTCTTATGCATCAAAATTAGTCAACTGCCAATGATATGTATGAGAGAGCTAGAAGTTCCAGATGATTTAATGGATTAGTCTTGGTTAGTTGAAGGATAAGAATCGAGGTTAGTGGACAAATAATTAGATCCTTACCGGCCTCCCTGTTTCACCAATTCGACCTGATTCTCCTCGAAGACCCATTGGACCCTGTCAAAAAAGCAAAAAAATTAGTAACCTCAGTCCTACTTAATAAATCTAATAAGCTACACTGCCGCACTAAGGAGGAACACCTAATGAGCCTTAAGACATTGCCAAATTTCCCTAAACAAACAACGAACTTCCGAGAAAATGTGTAAACTCTTTTCTTCCAATTTTTTCGAGAACTTTCGTAATTTGACGTAAAGTATCTGGAAATTTTAAGGAAAAGAATTCATAACTTTTTTTAAAAACAAATTTCTGAGAGGAAATTTGGCAACATTCAAATGCTCATACTGCGGTATTCTTAGCATGGTAGTACAGTACAAACAAACAATCTGCGCCGTTTTTCGGAAACTTTTTACAATGAGTGTTGAATATTACATGAGGATTAAAAAGCAGTGAGATCTCAAAAATGTCTATGGAAAAACTCAATAGTCTGTATGGCAATAGAAAAAGTAGATCACTTAAGGTTGCAAAGCTTGACCTCAAATATTTACCGTCAAAATGCTTGCTTGGAAATATGAAGGAATTTGATAGCTAAAATGCGAAACCACATATCTCCTTTGTAGTGTCTCCAAATTTCCGCTACTTTATTTTTTTGAAAAAAACATGTCAATTTTAAGGCCTGAAATTTAAACAGAATATTCTGCTGACAGAGATGAAAAATCAAGAAGGCTTTCAACGAAATACTTGACTGGTTTTCTGAGGAAAATATAAAGCAAGAAGGGGAAGTCAGCAGCATCTTATGCGGGGATTTGTGATTTCCCACTTTGGTCATCGAAATTATTGTTCTTGAGATTAATGCAAGGAAAGCTCAGGAAAAGTATTCATGAGCATCTGCTAAAATTTCAGGAAGATATTTAAATCAAATATCACAATGTGCTTTGGCAATTAGGTATGAGACTTGGAATATTTTTTTACTTCATTATTGATCAAGAAATAAAACTTACCGGTAAACCCATTGGTCCAGGATCTCCTTTCGAACCCTTTTCTCCCTGTGTTGGAGGAAAAAAGAAAAAAATACAGGATGAAAACGTTTGAGAAAATATTCTTATTTAATTTGAAAATACGATAGAAAAAAGCCTGCTACATTTTCTTCTGCTTTTTTTTCTAATTTTTATGGTGATATTGCTTTTTTCTTGCGTACATTGAGAATTGATTCTCATCATTTGCGAATCTTACTCAAAATTTTCTCTCCGTTTGTGTAGAGAAAATGATTCAAAGTCTGAGCCATTGTCAATTGTTTTCCATGAGTTGGATTGATAGACAGAGTGATTATCAATTGAGCGTTCAGCTCAGGCAGTTGCATAGGGGATGTTTCTCGTTCAGTAGCAACTGTCCAACAATCAATTTTTCTCGAATATTCTCCTTATTTATCCCTGGAATTTGTTCAGCAGCAATGACAGATGGCTTAAGGACAGCATTTTGGTGCTCTGCCTTACTTGGTATATATTGCAGAATTTTAAAACCTTTTAGAATTTTGCAGGAAACTAAGCTGGGATCCAAGTAGGTATAACTGACCAATGAACTTAAATAAGAAACAAACCAGTATGAATCAGTACTTTTAAAAAGAGTGGATGTCCAATTTTTTTAACTCATTTTTTTCACATTTTTGACATTCTTTTAACATCACATTCGCCTTTGTGAACATCTTTCACTCGCATTCCAAGAAGCGGAATACCGCTGCTTTCTTGGTTAATATTATCCAGAAAAGAAGGTAAGATGGTAAGGATAATCGGAGAGTTAAAAACTAAATAAATTAAAAAAAAAAAAAAAGATTTTGAAAAACGTACCATTCTCTCCTCTCAGAACTGGAACTCATTTGAGTTCACAGAAGCTTTGATTCTAATTTTTGGTTTTTTCTGGTTTCAATTTCCCCTTGGTATGGTGTGGACCCAGCACTGTTCTACTATTGTAAGTGTCTCTACTTATGCATGAAAAACAATGATATGCACATACATTAATGATGCAAAAATACTTACAGGCTCTCCTTTCCCTCCATCCATTCCTCTGTCTCCTTTGATTCCGGGGGGACCCTGTAGTCCTGGCAAACCTGCTGGTCCGGGAGGTCCTGGTGGACCTTGCACACCTTCTACATCATACTGTGTGCCGTCACCCTGCAAATAAAATGAAATCCATGTTGAAATATACAGATCATTTTAGGCGGCACTGATCCACCAGCTTGAAGGTATACTTGCATCCTGTAGCTATCTTTGACATACATCACAGACCTTATGCTGGTCAATTATGCCAAAATTGTTTTTCTTCCTTTAGCATATTAAGTTAGAGCATGTCCATCTGTGGCTAAACTTGGAAACCACTCATTTCTATGAGATTGTCCATAAGAGTTTACTTTTTCATCGGAGGACTAATCGATATAATTTCTTCAGGAGATTTCTCTTCCATGATGTTTCTTTCCTGGGTGAAGAATGTGTTATAAAAATTTCAGGCGATAAAATTTGTTTCATTTCTCTTGAAAAAACTGAATAGATCAGAAACTTTGAAACACCTGTAAGAAATATTGTTCCCAAGTTTAGCCATCGAGTTAACCTGAGGCAAAGACAACAAGAACTTTCATTCATTGAAAATTCTTTCTGTAAACAAAAAAAATAAAAGGAGTGAAATTTCAATTAGGTGAGAAAACATGAAGAAACAATGATAGATAATAAGTGATGTCCAGAATTTTTTAGAGGTTTCTCCCGATAAATATTACTTATAAAAATATTAGTGGTGTTAGACCATTCAAGGAGTATCTTTCGTTATTCGAAAATCTACAAAAGAAAGGTATAGCATTGCATGTTTTGTACAAAGCTCTTGCAAAGTGTTTTATGTTCAAATTCTGGCTCAGACTAATCAGAACTGCCAGGCTGCGACTGGAGCTAGGGCCCAGGGTTTTTGGGGGGGGCCGCAAAAACGGTTCAGGGCTAAACAAGTTAAGATTTCGAAATTTCTCTGGGCAAGGCCCAGCGGGGTCTCCCTCTGTTGAGGAGATGGGGATGTGCCCTCGGAAATTCCTCGAGGGACTTAATGTATAGGGCCTCTCCAAAATAACAATCGCGGCCTAACTTTTCAGGTCTTTACTCTGCATGTATCAGAGGACAACCAGTACAAGTGCTTATACACTTTCTTTGGTTAAAAAAAAAAGGGGGAAAAAAAAACTTTCAAAGATATAAGAGTTTACATACCTGTCTCCTCCTTAGTTTCTTATATTTCTGCAGTCCACAAAGTTCATGAAATTGAAAAGAAACAAGAAAAAATTGATAAGAAGATAAAAAATATAAATTCATCAAGAGGCAATGGACAGTAACTGAAGCAACAAAGAAACAACGGACTATTGGAGACTAGTTCCTGAAGATTAAAGTGGGAAATAATAAAAATGAAGAAAAGAGGGTCATAATGTTTTGATATCTTACATGAATAACCTACGAAGTGAATTCAATAAATTATGAAAATCTAAACGTTCTGCGTGGATTGAAGAGATTCAATGCTACCGAAATAACTAAAGAAAAAATATGATGTTAAATCCAAATGCTTATGTAACTGATCTTTAAGTTGCTGATGTTTTCGTTTTCTGATCATTAATATTGAAAAATACTGACTTTGCCAACATTTAAGAATTTTCATACTTAGGATGTAATGAATTGATTAATTTTTACATGATATCAAAATAGAAAAAAATTAAAGTGGTACTTCAATCTTGCAATGTACTCTGAGAGTCCCCCTTTTCGTGGCATCTTTCCCTCCTCAACTACTTAATGTTTGCTGTATTTCTCTGGAGATTACAACATGGTTGTTTAGGATAGTTGGTATTGGTTACCCCATGTGTTAAATATTAGAATTCAGGTGTAGAAAATTTGATGGTTCCAGGATTTCAAGTGACTTCATAGAAAATAGTTAATCACTTTACAATAAAGTGTATTCAACTAACAGAGGGCTCTTTTTAATACAGCATTGTTCAATTATTAAAGAACTTATTCAAAGATGACTTACCGAGTCGCCTTTGTCGCCCTTCTCTCCTTTTTGACCTGGATAACCCTGAAAATAAAAAGGAAAGGATTCAGGTCATTTGAGTAGCCGGAGGATACTGAAAAGGCAATGATAGTATGGCTGAAGTTGTGTTCACAAATTGCCTGGAAAGGATATATTTTGATAATCATTCATTCTGTTTTACTTAACTTTTTAATTAAATTTGCTTTATTTTCTTGATTGAGTTCTTTTTTTTCATTACTTTGTTTTATTTTATGAGCCTTCAGACCTAATACATTAATGTTAATACATTAGCCTTTCTAACAATGGGCTTATGGCCAAGAATGGCCAATCGAGGAATATCCATCTCTCACATCATAGCGATGGCCAAAACGTAAAACCACGCATCTCTATTGTGGTGTTTCAAAAATTTCACTCCTATTCTATTTTTTTTAAGACAAAACTAGCCAATTTTTTATCTTGAAGTGTATGCAGAATATTCTGCTAACAGAGAAAAAAAATCAAGGAAGCTCACAAGAAATTATGTTTACAAGTTTAATAAAGGAAATACATAGTATGACGGGAAGTCTGCAACGTCCCAAATAGAGATACAAGGTTTCGCACTTTGGTCATCTATAGGTAATTGACCTCACGTTAATCAATAGCAGTAATAATAATGTCATTGATGTACAGTTCCAGTTGTATTTAAATGAAATACTTACCAGTTTTAATATACTTGATCGTTTCTCTATGGACATTAGCAGTGATTTTTGCAATGACTTCTGTATTTTTAATTCCTATGTAGGTACTTCAGAGGTGACATTTTCTGAACATATGCCATGAATTCAAGACAAGAAAGGGATGGGTCTCTCAGACGGAAGGAACAGCAAATTCAAGTTGTAAAATAAGAGGATACTTACCGGTGGACCTGGCAAACCAGGTGGACCCATCAATCCAGGTGGTCCAATGTCTCCATATTCTCCTTTTTCACCTTTCGGCCCAGACTGACCCTATGGAAAAAGATGTACATTTTTTAGCTTTTGAATCAGTAAGTTAGTCGATAGCTTAAAAGAGCTCACAGGTCATTTCTATGAATGTTTCAGAGCTTGCAGAGGTTCCCCAAAATAAGAGTGACAATGATTCCAATTTTTTTTCTTTGATTATGCGGAAGATTTTCAATAGATCTAACTAGACCTTTGAGAGATTCCAATTACTTCGCTATAACCACAATACATCTGTTCAAAAATTTAGGCTGAGATTTGATGGCTCTCTCCTTTTTTCCCCCTTTCTGTGAACAACGCCATTCCATCTTTGTGTCTAGAATTTTTTGTTTCCTGAGACCTGTGAGTCCTTCAATGGAGATGTTGCATATGTGAGGAATTTGCAATTTGACTAGGTATTGATTCATATGTAAAAGTTTGCAAGAAACATGATGGTGCCACTGGTTTTCTCTGAAATCAACTCCCAAGCTCAAAAAAAGCTCTCAAGTTGAGGCCAAAATGGAGGGGATATCCCATGCTATCCTGAGAGTCCACCTCTACATCAAGACGAACTCTCCATGCAAAGATAGGGAGTAAATACGTTAGCAGGGATACCAAGTTTTCAGTTTTAGAGTCCTCAAACAAAGTGGCAGCCCTGTCAATGTATTTGCTCTCTATCTTTGCATGGAGAGTTCGTCTTGATGTAGAGGTGGACTCTCAGGATAGCGCGGGATATCCCCTCCATTTTGGCCTCAACTTGAGAACTTTTTTTGAGCTTGGGAGTTGATTTCAGAGAAAACCAGTGGCACCATCGTGTTTCTCGCGAACTTTTACAAGAGAATCAATAGTCAAATCACAAATTTAGTGATGCGTGAGGGCTCCAGGGATTATTTAGGCATTAAAAAAAGAAAAAAATTTGACCAAATATCCACATGCTTTCTTAAAACTTCTTTATTTGAAACTGGAAAGTTTCTTTCAGAAGGACACCCTCCGGATCCAATCACCAAAAGTAATCAATGGATATCATACGTACTGGTAATCCAGGAGGTCCTTGAGGTCCAGCTTCACCTGCTAATCCACGTTCACCTTGTGGCCCTGTGAGTCCAATTTCACCTTTATCACCTGTTGAAAAAAAAATAAATAAATAAATAAATGAATTGATTTTCATAATAGAAATTAAAAAAAGGGAAGAAAGGAATTCAGTCCTTCCTCACCTTTCATTGTTATTTCTATGATATCATAATTCAAACTTTAGTGATCCCTGTACTGGTGTAACCAGATATAAATTAAAAAAACGAGACTTTGATGTACCAACTATTAATATGCTGCAACTTTAACCTAAAAAAGAAATAAGATAATTGGAATCTAGATCGCTGCTTAAAATTATTCAGAGAAGGCATACCTTTTCCTTTTTACCTGACTGGACAGACAATATCATTTCATATTTTGATTGAAAGCAATGGCAAAGAAACAAAATGAAATCAATTTAATATGAACTCATACATTGTTATGAAAAATACACTAATTTAGGATTCTTGAGGAAGGATAGAACATTTGGTGATTGTTTGATTTTTGTAGAATTGTACGCCAATAACTTACATTACAATCAAGTTATACTTTTGAACACACTTGAAGCACCTGTACAGCTTCTCATTTGGACCAGTACAAATTCAGAGCAGAATGCCAGGCTTTCTTTACAGGACCTCGTGATGCAAAGAAATTCAATGAAATATACTATTATTGTAACTCTTGAATAGTCCCTCGAACCTCTAATAAATAAACTGATGGTTTTAAAACTTCGTGTAGAGGACATGTTCAGACTTTCCAGATCACATTGATTTTCTCAATAATTGATCAGGAATTAGAAGGATGCGGGTAAACTAAAAAAAAATTCTTTCAGAGAGTATCGGGCATTGATTCATATTTTTTATGAAGAGAATGCCTCTCTGAAACAAGCTTCCTTCCGTACAAGATCAGAATGTATTATCAACTACATCAATTATTCATACAATTGGTATTTTCAGCATAAATTATGATTTCCTTACAAGGAAGGACTCTAAATGATTTTGCTTCTTTGATTTTAAAATAATAACAGAAACTTGAAAGTTACAGTTTGAAACCTATTTCATTCAGAGTCTCTCATATGCAAGCAGCTTAAACAAAAGTTACATTTTGTTCCATGGAGCCATTTGTCCTTGGACAGACTTCCACATAAAGAGTAAAATTAGCATCAAAAGGAGTGAACTAACACTTGTAAAGAAACTAAAACTTAAAGTAAAAATTACTTTCCTAACGCCTTAAGTTTTAGGAAGGAAGAGAAAAAATAGGAAAAATATTGACTGTGAATTAAACGAGGGCTATGAAATAAAAATATCCTCTGGATGTGAATAAATGGGAAGGAGCGATTTTCTTCTAGAATCAGCAAAAAAGAGAGAAGAATTCAATATTTAATTTGTGACAATCAATAGGTACTCCTTTGCTGGGTCAGAAAGACAGAGAAGTTCAAATATCTGAGACAATATTTTCTTCTGGATTGACGATTTCTTACTGAGGTGAGCTTGCAATCACAAGGGCGCCATAAACTTCAAGAACTTTTAGAGGCCTATCATACTTTGACGCTAATAACATTTCCTTTGAGCATTAAAGCTCCATGTTGGAGACTATGCGTAGGTTGTGCCAAAGCAAAACTGGTTAATTCTACTAGTGTATAATTTTTAAAATTAATGTACAGACTTTTGGATCACTTTAATGATCCACAGGGCTTAAGGCTGACAGACATATAGATGCAAGAAAATTAGAGTTTTATTCATGCAAAGCATGCAAGAAAGTGCCATGATAAAATAAAATGAAATCATGCATAATGTCTGAATTAGTATGATGCACATGCTAAAGCATACTTTCCATTACAACACAAAATTCAAGCTGTGGGATAGCGAATGCTTTGCACAGTTGAAGATTTCAGAAAACTGAGAATTAAGGAGAGGGCAGTATTTTGTTCATTTTTCCCTCTCTTAAATATGTATGCCTTTTATACAATCCTATCTTTGCGGAGGCAAGGATATGATCACAATATTCTTGGATCTTCGGCTGATCACAAAAATTAATCGACCCTTCTAAATTAAGTAAATGAAAATGTATATGTGTAAATTAGAATACAGCAGACCCAGTACTACCGCTGAGGAGAGAGGGTGGCAGAACCTCAAAAATGGCATATGACTAAAGTTCTCGTTTTTTAATTCATTTTCTTTAAATTGGTGCTCTTCTTCTTTTTAGCCTTGTTTAACGATTATATTAAACCCTCTTGTTTGTTAAATTTTTCTTCATTGCACTAATAGACATAGGTATCTGAATAAATATTTGGAGAACACTGATGAATAAGAAAATTCTAGGCGCAAGAACACAAAGGCCTCCTGTTAAGTTACACTCATTCTACGACTTATCTGTTAAAGTTAACACTGAAAATAAAAGTTTTGTCCAACATTACTCATAATTTTATTGAAATTCACTCTCTGCATTTTTGTTTCTTCCCTTTCGAATATCTCCGGTACTAAATGCACGCTTTCTATTTTTCAAAGGGAACAAATAGGACCGAATCAATACAACAAATTGAACAAAGTTTATGGCTTTCTTTTTAGACGTCCTGTGTCTGATACTAAACAGTGAAATTTTTAGAGTCCATAATTCAAGAGTTTCTGCTACGTGGGCAATAAAATGCTTATCTTCCTTTTTTCCATGAAAAATTGCAAAAAAGATGGGTAGATCCAATTTGTTTAACTCAACGTCTATCACTAGCCATCTGACAAAAAAGGTAATTTAATTAATTTTCATTTTGGTACCTCCTGATAGAATTCTTTGGAAAATCACTTTAAAAGGGCAGTCAATCAAATCATTACCCTTATTTTTGTAGCGTGATGATGCTAATTTATAGTGATAGAACTACAGAGCGCCAGATTCCTAAAGCCACTGCACCATTCAAACGCTTTTGCCCCAATTACACAAAAATTAAATACGTGATAGAAATGTTCAGGCAGAGTATTATAATTTAAAGATTATTTTTGAAAACAGACACATTTAGAACTTTCATTATTCTTTTGTTGTCATACAACAGAAAAGCTTGAAAAGACTCTTTATACAGGAATAAAATAAGAAAACTTGAATCTTTGGATCTGAAATTTTTTTAGCATAAATTAAAAAAAGATCAACTTTTCTGAGGCATGTCAATGACCAAGCACTTGCGAGAGGTAATCAATAATAATAATATGCAAAAATCATTTAGCCACATACTTAGGGACACTACTAGGAGTAGGTCAAAAACTGGTAAAAACTTGCATTATGTACACTCCAGTTGGGAGAGGTCTCATTAAAGGAGCCAAACACAATGCTTATTCGTCATGACCATTGCTATTGTTGCTTACCCGTTTCCCGCGCTTGCCTCTGAGCCCTTTGTCTCCAGAGGGTCCAGGAGGACCAGGTGGACCCACATCACCTTTTGCGCCCCGCAGACCGTCCAAGCCTTAGACACAATTACATTGATTTTAAGCATGCTCTCAAGAATCAACAATTAACGTGCACTAATTTTACACAGATTCTAATGGGGAGAAAAAAAATGGGGGAAAAAAAAATTCCAGAAAATTTGAGTAAAAAGACCTAAAAAAAACTGATGGAGCATGTTAGAAACATTGGGCATATTAGGGTGGGGCCTGAAGCCCTCTGGTGAACTAGACTTTGCAAAAATTAGCCAGAATTGTTTGGCAGAGTGGACAAAAAAAAGTTTAGTAATAGAGCTCTTGCACCTGGATAGGTTTCTGATCTTGTCAGTTCGTCCACATGTACTTTTCGTGTTGAATTCAGAAAAGTTGACGGGTGCTTTATGAACTTAGATGAAAAGCCTTTAGGCACAATTGTTAATGAAAGATTATATCATAAGGCTACACATCCTGCTGAAAGATGGCGAAGACAGAGAGCTTGAGGTTATAAAAACAAAGCAGTATGCGAAATTTCAGGTTAGGAAGGTTTAAGCATGTGAGAGGGAAAATACTCTGAGAAATTATCCCCTCGCTCCTTGCTACATGATGGAACACAAGGAATGCATAGATGATGACACAGTGTAAAAATACTTGAGGGTCGCACATATTTTGGACAGATACTCCAACAATTTGCCACCTAAATACTTTAAACCAAAGTTCCGGCTAAAGCTTTTGAGGAGTTCCAGGGGTCAAAAAATTATGACGATTTATTCCTTGACTGTGAGTGAAGGATGAACGTAAAGCAAAAATAACCATACAGTCTTGAGGATGAAGGGTTTTAAATTTCACAGAGTTTTCATTGGGGTGTTATGATGCAACTTCTTCAACAGGACGCATAGAGCCGGTTCCAGCCTGTTACGCTAAACATTAACAAGCGATTTTTCCGAGCTGACTTGGATCTCATAGTCTCGACAGGGTAGCTGCCGCTCCTTATGATTAAAAATCCAGGCACAAGAGCTCTATTGCCTGGCAGTGAAAGAGGGAGTTAGTTAGAAGCATGTGTGAACATTTTGGAAAACATTTACCTTAATAATTGAGATCAGACAGCCAGAGATGTGTGCTGTTATTTATGCGTACGGTGAAAATGTTAGAGGGCAAATCAAGATATATAAGAATATAAGCAGTGACCTCACAAAAGTAATTGGATGGCAAAAAGTTTGTTTTTCATCAGGTCTGTATTATGGAAGAAAGTATAGAGTTTAACACTATTTGTTAAAATACCCGCTATCACCTATCAGTGCTTGAACAACTGATAAAAATTCAGATGACAATTAGCAATTTTTTTAAAAAGTTCTATAGCAAAGGCACAAGTCGATTTGAGTCTTTAAATATTGGGAGGAGTATACATTGACCTTTTTCCATCAGGGCTATTTGCAAATGTTGCATCGACAGTTTTGAATCAAACTTTTCAAAATGTCAACAGATAAATTGTTCATTATTTTTTCTCTATTTGGGAGGAAAAGGATGGTCATTTAGGGACGATGTAAACCTAAAATGCCCAACTGCAAAAATTAAAAGTTAACTAACTAGCTTAGTGGTTTTAGGATGCACTAATTGAGTTGGGTCTGCTAAAAGTTTTATAAATGAAATTAATAAGAATACAACAAACTCTAAAAAGAACAGATAAAAAATTAAATGATTGGAGAATAAACTACAATGAAAAGAAAAATTGATCCAACGTAAAAAAAAAAGTTCAATAAAAAAAAATAGGAATCAGTTGATTTTTTTAAACATATTGAGATCATCAACTTTTTGCGCTTATAGATAGTCTTGCCGACAACGAGAACCTACGTAAAACAGTAATAACGACATGCTTTTGATAAAGTGAAGAAACGCACTGACGAAATGAACAAAAAACGAATATTACCTGGCGGCCCTGGTGGACCAGGTGGACCTTCAATAATGCCCGTCGGGAATTTGTGATCTCCATTCAGCGTTGTCGTTAAACCTCGGTCTCCCTTATCTCCTTTGTCACCCTGAAAATGGTTTCAGTAAATGTTATGAAAGGAGCTTGAATGGACTAAAAATAGGAAAACCTCGGAAAAATCCTCTCAGAAAGATTTCTTTATCGTAGTTACAATGATTCAGATTCAAACGGTTGGATTCGCTGTTAAAAAGAAAGGAGTGGAATTTGAGGCAGAAAAAACTGGTCTTAAAAATATGCTGTTTATATGCTAAAATATGGAAAAAGAAACAGGCAATGAAGATATATTGCAAATTTTTTTGGTGAGGCCCCCAAAGACCTTAAAACTACGATCCTCAAGAATGATCACCTGTTAACTGTCAGAGATTGACAACCTTAACAGATTGCAAGTAGAAAGTTCTGCAGAGCAAAATTTAGTCGCTATCTTATAGTTTGGTAGTTCCACCATCTATGTCCTTGCTGCTTTCATGACTCATATTTTACTTCATATTTTAAATAATTTATATTTAAAATATTATGAAATAAGTTCACAGACTTCCTTCACAAAGAACATCGACGGTGTAAGTCGGCAATCACATGACTCGGTTTGCGACGTCGCAGACTTTCTGTCAAACTTTATTTTTTAAACGGAAAACTACTCTACAGCTATTCGTTAAAACTGCCGTGGTTTTTCTTCTCTGTGCAAAGAAAATTCTGAATAAACTTCAAGGAATGATGTCAATTTGTTGCCTTTAAAAAAATAACTTAGAGGCGGAGATTTTCAGACATCGCAAACGAGATATGTGATTGCGGACTTACGCCATCGACATGTAACCAGTAAAGAAAATGAGACATTGTACTTCACATTTTGTTCTTTTCCCTGACATGACAGTATTATTAGGATCTTTGACAATCAGAATAAGAGTTTAAGTTTGTATGCATACCTTCGGTCCCACAAAACCAGCAGGGCCCATGGGTCCAATCGGGCCTGCGTCTCCTGGGCTTCCTTTTTCACCAGGAGGCCCCGGCTCTCCAACCAATCCAGGCCGTCCATCATGTCCCGGTAGTCCCGATGGTCCTTGAGGGCCTGCGGGTCCAGGCGGTCCTGGTTCACCAGGTTCTCCCTAGAAACAAGAAGAAACCTGTTAGTAAAATTCGAAATAACTTCAGATGAAAAGCATTCTGACTTTCATGAGTTTAGTGCGCTTGTAAATGCTTGTGCATGCAGAAATACTTAAGATGCATTCAGATTGCGCTCAACTGCGAAGATTCTGGCGGTCTACCTATACTGTCCACAACCTGATTAATGGCATTCCATTACAGGTCGTGGACAGTTCAAAAAGATTACCTCCGTATAAATTAAGATCATTTGAGCCTCCCTCCATTACTTGTCTACTTGGTCCACAGGTAAAAATTTACTTTGAAAAGATGCTGACTCCAAAGAATAAACTCTGCCACTTTTTCTCATTCTCTTAGCTTAGTAGATAAGTCATGTCTTATTACCTACATAATCTGATTACATACTGTGGAGACATGTGCCTTTTTTGTAAAAAAAAAATCAAAAGACCCTCTTGAACTTTTAAAGATCATGTTTTTGTCTGAAGATCCAATTTATAAATAAAATGGTTTACCTCTGTTTCATTTCAGTAATTTAATGGCCACAAATTATCACCACAATGCATGATGTGTGTATAATCACTAATAATCATGATTGAAATAAGTTGGTACAGACGTTGATCAAATTTCAATCCGAGGAATCTATGCGTATGAGGGATGACTAAAGTATTGCCAGCAGGTACCTTTCGCTGATCAGAAAAATAAGGGGGAAGGGATATTGTTTTTATAAAAAGACGAGAAAAAAAAGTAAAAAAAAGTGAATGGAAAATACCTGGGACTTGACAGACTCGAACAGCTTCTCACTAACAGATGGGCCAACATTAGTATTTACTTAAAATTATGGGGCAAATAAAAGTACCCAATGTCATGGAAAATTAAGCTGAAATATTCGTTAGAATTCAAATGACTTGTCGATCAAGCTCAAAACGCGGAAAACGTCAAATCAGAGGGCAAAAACCATGGCCACGGCAAAATCAACAAAATTAAAATTCTAACCTCCCAAAGGTAGGAAACAATAAATCTGACAACAACGTAAAAAGTTTACAGCACTACCAACGTGTGCTAATCCTTACCACAATTTTCCAGCAAGTGACCGATTTTAATTTTAATTTTAATGAGCAGAGCATAGCATAATAAAAATGATCATTGATAAACTAGGTGCGTCTTGATTCATGTTAAGATTTTCCACAAAGATCATAAAAGTAGATAGTTTTTTCAACTTTCCAGATTAACTTTTGAAATAGGTGCCGCATTGCTTTTTTGCGTTTTTGTGAACGGTAGGTAGGTAGTAGTTACATTGTTTTCCCGCAAAAAAGATAGCGCGGAATTTAAAACTGCGGGCTTTTCTCATCATTGTCTAAAACACCGGAAATGAATAATGTATGTGAACTACAAGTTTTAATTAATCTTTCAAAGATTTAACTATCATGGAAAGTATTTGATTGAACGAACAGGGCCGGATTTACCTACTTGCCGCCCATGGGCCGCCTGTATTTTGCCGCCCCCTTCTCATTCGTTTTGAAATACCAATAAAAACCATCAAGTAAGCGTGCCAGCGGAGGAGGGGTGCATAAGAATCGTTTACTCGTGTTGGACATATTTTTTGGGAAAGTCCTGTTAACACTACTATAGCAAGTGTTCACGGAACTTTGCGCAAAAGTTAAGTTCCGTAAACCTATCTCTGTGTGTGGACAAGGCCTTCCATTCATAAGAAATGAACGAACAAATTGTGAAAGAACAAACATAGATGTAGTTAAATGATTTTAACTTCCGCTGCCGCGCCGCCGTGCAGACTGCACTGTGTTTGACGCAATGCGTGAAGTATTCACGCAGTCTTGTAGGCGCTAAGCGTTTCACGCTGACCGCACTGTCTTTGGCGCAATGAGTGAAGTATTCATGCATTCTTGTAGGCACTATCCGTTTCACGCTGACCGCAGTGACCGCACTGTGTTTGCTGCAAGGTGTGAAGTATTCATGCAGTCTTGTAGGCGCTAATATGTGTTACATGCCGACCGCCGCGCCGAGCGAGGAGGGCTTCTCCTTTTCATCTCAAGTCCTCGTCATCATTTCTCTCTAAGTCGCGCCGTTCCAGGCCAAATTGCGTGTTTGGTTTCTCTCTTAACTCGATTAGTGACAGGTGCTGTCTCTTTTATCACTAAAAGACAACAAAATTAGAAATTGCTATACTCTCAGGAAATGAGAGATTTCGTCGCCTTTTCTCGTTTGTATTTTTTTTTTAAATTCGATTTTTTTTTAAAAAAAATTGCAAAATTTGCCGCCCCCTTGATTTGCCGCCATGGACCGCGGCCCATGTGGCCACCCCCTTAATCCGGCCCTGTGAACGAATACGTAATCTCTAGATGATCTACTTGAATACCAAGACGGTAATGCCCTAGTAAACTACATTTCAATTAATTTTTTTTTTTTTTTTTTTTTTCCGGGCAAAGCTTGCTTATACACGTTCGTGACTAAGATTGCATTGCATGTTTAGTTGAACGTGCAATGCTACTCTGCCAACCAAGAGTGTAAGGCGGAAAAACATGGCTTTTACAGTAAGTTTTTTGATTTTTAATTCTTTTCCTGCGCGTTTAAAGGATCAATATCATGCCAAAATTTTGACCAACATTGTTAAAACGCGAGAAAAGTAGGTAAGGATGAGCATGGCAACAGTATATAAGACATCATATGCCATTCGGTCCAGGTTAAGGTCTTTTTTCTCTGAAAGAGAAAATAGACCTTAAGAGAAGACCTGAAGAGAATTCTTCATTGACACTGTGCTCTTTCTTAACAGGAAAGCATGCTAAACGCCACGGAGTAAATGATTATTTAGAGAAAAAAATAAAGATCATTACGGAAAGGTAGGTAATAAAAGGGTCAGTATAGTGCATCTATACATACTATACACATGCAACTTGTTAGTGACATGCGAAAAAGAGACTTAAAAAATCTTTGAATTGGGTATAAATTTATGGCCATGTAGGTAAAGGAAAAAATTGAGTGGGTTGATGTTTTTATTTAATTTTTGTTCTTATATTTTTTAATGCCAGTAAATCATGTCCACGATAAAAGTTATGTGTTGGATAGATGAAGGCAATTAGTTGTTGAGCAACTTAATCGATGTGAAACGATTTAAAATACAAGCTGTTCATTACAGTTAGTTGTTAATGAGTGGTAGTAATTTGAAGAGAGTTTGCTGATTATATCTGTTAGTTTTGACACGTGAAAGCTGAGAGTGAAAAATGAAGGAAAAAAGGGGAACTATTACTTACTTTTAACATTACGATGCTCTCAGCGGAGATGTTATGACCTTGCTCTTGGAGCCCCTAAAATCATGGCCAACAACCAATAAAAATCCAGCATTCCCACAAAAATCACAAAAAGAAACAAAAAAGCAAAAACAACAATAATGACAACGTAAAATAATTCTCGAGTTATTTGGTGCAGTACGCAACATTATACATATAATTCAAACAATTCGTAATTCCTGATATCGTGAGTTCAACCTTTAAACCTAATTTTTTGAGTGGTTTAATTTAGGGATAAATGTTAGAGGTATTTTACAATTGTACACGAAATCTCCTTTCGATCACATAGGCGTACATTATTATCCTTTGCCGGACTGCTCTTACTCGCAAGCTATCGTCTTACTGCACCAAATTACGAGAGGGAGGAAACAAAAAAAAACAAAGTTACGGGAAAAAGGAATGAATAAATCCGTTAAAAAAGAAAAGAAAAAAAAAAACCAACAAACGGCTATGCACAAGTCACAACAGAGACGAACTTCGAGCAAGAACATGTCAGTCTGAAACACTGGCGGATCCAGCAAATTGGCAACATCGTTTTCTCTCCATTTAAATCCATGAAAATGTATCGATTCTTGGAGGGACCTGGTTCTCCGACCAGAATCGATTATTAGCTTTAAATGGAGGAAATCCGATGTTGGCAAGTTCTGGATCCGCTCCTAGTCCGAAAAAGGAATTCCTCGGAAAATAATAGGTCTGGATGAAACCTTGTGATTGGCTATTAGAATAATGTTTGCTATCTAGAGTTTGTGCCTTATGCATGAATTTCTGAACTTGCAGGGTTGCCATAATTTCTTCATTTTCACATTCCCTGACTATTTTTGCTTTTCCCTGACTCCGCGAAATTTTCGGATTCCCTGACTTTCTCCGGCATTTGAATGAAACTTCCACACTTTGATTTTTTCCCCTGTATATTACACTCACTTCTGCTAAACGCACCTCGGCAAATGGAGATGTTGCATGTGTGAGGAATTCGCGATTTGACGATCGCCTCATACATATGTAAAAGTTCGCGAGAAACACGATGGTGCCACTGGTTTTCCCTAAAATCAATCCCCAAGTTCAAAAAAAGCTCTCAAAGTTGAAACTATGATGGAGGGAATATCCCACGCTATCCTGAGAGTCCACCTCTACATCAAGACGAACTCTCCATGCAAAGATAGGGAGCAAATACATTAGCAGGGATGCCGTGTTTTCAGTTTTGGAGTCCTCAAATAAAGTGGCAGCCCTGTCAATGTATTTGCTCCCTATCTTTGCGTGTAGAGTTCGTCTTGATCCAGAGGTGGACTCTCAGGATAGCGTATGGGATATTCCCTCCATTACAGTCTCTACTTTGAGAGCGTTTTTTGAGCTTGGGAGTTGATTTCAGAAAAAACCAGTGGCACCATCATGTTTATCGCAAACTTTTATATAAGAAAGAACAGTCAAAATGCAAATTCCACACACATGCAACATCTCAATTCCCTGACTTTCCAGGATTTCCAGATGGCCAGAAACCCTGTAAACGTCATTTGAGCCTTTCATCGAGATGATCCATCGTGGACAAATCGAGGATCCACGACATCCACAGATTTTCCTTCAGTAATAACAAACTAATTCAGGGAACCAACGATTGTCTTTATTACGTGCGTATGGATACTCCGCCTCATAGAGACCCAAAAATGGCGGCGACTTTGCACGAGAGGGGCATGGGGTTGTTTTCAACTTTTGACCGGTTATTACCATGCTGCAATCATTTTCCCGATTCATCGAAAGCATATTGTCTTAACTCCTCTTTAAAGGGACTCTAATCGAGGGTATCTCGATCCTGTTTCTTTCAAGTGCGGCGCGGCGCCATCGTCGCGTAGGGTAGAGGCGAGGACTGGGGGGAGGGGGGTGTCAACCCCTGAGTCTTGGATCATGAGTGATATTCGCAAAACTGAGCAAAGCGTAGCCGCAGGCACCCGAGACCGGTGACCCTAGCGCTGCCGAGCTAAGGAAAAACGCCGTATGAGCCTTCAGGCGTTGCCAAATTATCTTCAGTAAATCACCAATTTTCGGGAAAATTTGTAAAGATTTTTCCTCCAATTTTTTCGATAATTCCGTTCTCAATTTCACCTTACGTTCCTGAAAATTTCAAGGAAAAATATTCATGGCTTCCCTCACAAATAAACATTTTATCGAAGGAAATTTGGCAACTCTCGAATGTTCATACGGCACTCTTCCGTAGCACGGGAGAGCGGCCCAGGCCAGGGTGGAAAAACATGACTATTAGCATATTGATGGTCGCACGGAGAAACGACGTGACGTGAAGCGTGGCGACGCCACGGCCGGAGGCGACTTTTCAAGTGCGTCTTTGTGGGGGCGAGGGGCGAGAACCGAAGGGGTGTCACGCGAGGGGTGGGGGTGGGGTGTACCGCCGGAAAGGGCCCCGGGGTGCTGGGCGCCCGAACCTGATAAAACAAAATAGACGGATTAAACCAGAATCAACCTAACCACACTGAGTAAAAACTATGGCTTATAAACCTATTAGAGGTAAATATGGAACACCACTAATAGTAGTACCTCTACATATAATAATAGCACATATACCTTAGTTATGGTACGGGGTACCTTAATTAGGTACAGAGACCTTAGTATGGTTCACAGACCGAGAATCATTAGTTTATTTACGACTATTATAGGTGTTCCATATTTACCTCTAATAGGTTTATAAACCATAGTTTTTTCTCAGTGCACATCAGGCATCGCCGAATTTCCGCTCTTGTAGAATGTTTCTGACGGAGATCTGAGCGACATTTTACGTGAAAGATGAGGGTTCCTTAAAATTTGAAAAAATAGCCTTTTTCCATTTGTACAAAACCTTAAGTTTCAAGATTTACCTTTAAACTTCTAACCTTCCTTGCGGAATTACAGAGAGATCCAGCGGGCCGATTATTGAAACTGATAGACAAAGCGATAGACAAAGAAGACACAGGGAGTATAGAGCGATCCTATTGGTTGACATGGTTGGTTCTTATAGACTAAGGAAGAAAATTATGGACTAACTGTCGGGTCTTTGGTGGGTTGGCGTTAGTCAGTCCATTACCTACCTCCTATGTCCGTTGCCACCACCCGCTTCCACCAATAGGATCCTTCCAAATCACTTTTGTCGTCTTTGTCTATAGCTTTGTCCATCAATTTCAATAATCGGCCCGCTGGGCAACATTAGGGAGCGAAATAGTCATATTTTGCAGTGGCGAAGCGTGGATGATCGACTATCGATATTTCCCTCGTTTGAAGCTACGGTAAAGAATTGATTATTAGGGTCTTCGTTGCGAATACCATGTCTATCGATCCTTTCCATAGATTCAAATGGCAGATTAATAGATGCATCGCAAAGCAAACCACGCCATTGATATTTTGACATAAAAGCATCGATTCGTAGAGTATCCGCGTTTTGATTTGGACATCAAGTATTCTGCCATAATTTTAAACTTATTACTCGAAACTCGATTTAAGAGAGGATATTTAACGGGCTAAAATACTCACACTCACATGTTCTTGCTCGTAAAGTAAACAGAGGAGCATACAATACATATAGAACTAACAAAAAGTTGCGTAGAATCAAATCAATAAAGGAAAATGCCGATTTTTTTTAAAAACGGTCTCATGTAAATAAACAGAACTGTGCCATGGAAACGATTATCCGATAATACTTGTACTTCAATTTAATTACCACAGTTGTGATAAAATTGAAAGGAAATTAAAATACAAATCACGCAATATGTCATGCTGTGACAAACTACTTAAGACTAACAACAACGATTACGACAGGACAAAGGGACAACACTCTAGTATTTTTTTCTTCCTTGTTCTCACCTTTACGGCTACAATTTCGGCATATCCCAAAGTTCCGCCGCGAAGAGTAGTCACAGACCTTTTCAAACCTCCCTGATTGGCCGCGGGCATAAGCAAAAATTTAAAGGTAAAAAAAATGGTGATATAAGAAGAGCTAGATGATTAATTTCAGATGTTCGGAACTGACAAGGGAACACGTTCGCTAAACCACTTCTCTAGACAAATAAATGTATGAAATTATACATCGACGGTGAAATTCCTAAACCACGTATCTCGTTTGCGGTGTTTAAAAATTTCCACTCCTTCTTTATTTTTTTAAAGGAGAAATAGTCAACATCACGCCTTAAAAATTTGTTCAAAATTTGCCTCGCACAGAGGAGGAAAATCACGGAGGTTTTTAAGAGTGGACGTTGAGTAGTTCTCCATTTAAAAAAATTGAGTAGAACAAGAAGTCTGGAACGCCGCAAACCGAGATATACGTGGTTTGGTAGTTTCACCATCGACATGTTCTACCTTTTGCAGTAATTTTTAATTAAATTAAATCCCCGATGATAAAAAATTGACTAAATTAACAACAATACCTCATAAATCGAAGGGATTATTAAATTGTAATACTCGCTCTATAATAGTATCAAAGGCCACTTCAAGCCTGCGGATCATCAAAGTTTAATTTTGCTGCTTTTCACCATAAAAAGTAAGTCGATATACAAACGATATTACGATATAAGAGTCAATGTAGTAGGTCCAGAAAAAGCTAATTACCTCCTAAGTTTCGAAGATAGTTTGATTCGTTTAAAAAATATATCACTTAACTTTTTGGTCAAACTTCAATTCGATTCGATTTGTCTCATTGCTAAACAATTGACCTTCCAAAAAAAATTAACACTGGGTAAAGTTCGCTTTAGCGATTCCCGATTCAATTTAAAATATTCAATTCGCTTTATGATACTGATCGGAAAAATTGCATTATTCGTAAAGAGATGAAAATGATTCTTAATGAATATTTTCTTATCGATGAACAACATGTTCAAATGCGTATTCTGCAATAAGATGATTAAAAACCGGAGGAAGCGGCTGATAGCTGCTGATCCCTGTAATGGACAAATATTCGTTTCCCATACGAAGGAATGTAACTCCATCCCACGGTTGCCAAATAGACCAAAACAATGAATTTATTTTACAAAAATGTACCTGTGCAATTTTTATCCAAGATGTGTCTGATTTTTGTATGAAATCTGAGGAAAAGTCTGTGACATTTTTAGTTAGAAATGCCCACGATTCTCCTGGTTCATATGCGATTTGCGAGGGGAAATTTGGCAACATTGAACTGGAGTTACGTTCTTTCGTGAGGGAAGCGACGAAATGTATTAATGAAAGAGAGCAATGCTGTGAAAAACTAATCTCCGAGTGAAAATGGGTTGAGTTACCTTGACTGCAGAGTAAACATCAAAACCAGGATTGCCGCCATCACCTTTTTGGCCTTTGTCACCTTGTCGCCCCTGAAAATGACAAGCCCACAGATTAGACGTACAGTATAGCGGATTCCAACTGTTTATGCTTATCCTCAAAATGCCTTTAAAAGTATTGTTAGATTTATAAAATAAAGTTTAAATCCCATTTTACACTTGACTGTTTCCGCATTACTTTATTTCTTGAAAAAGAGGAAAAAAACCTGAGCGTAATAACTGATGGAACCTCAAGCACGTGAGAGTATACAGTCTCCCTGGTAAAAATTGGCAGTAGAATCTGTGTTCCAAAATACCATAGACCTACAGCCGGCTGTACGATTTCCAATAGCTTCTATAGCCGGCAACACAATTTCTTATAGCCTTTTATAGCCGATGGCGATTAAGCAACAGCCTGGCGATAAAGCGTATGCTAAACGTTACTAATAACGGATGCTAGGACTTAGTGAGTTAATGGACTACCGCTCTCTTTTTGGGCCGCAGTATCTTGATTTAATTTGCGAGGAAAGCTCCGTACTTTTGAAGGATGCCTGCCATTCCCAATATGTTGGAGCGCCTTCAATTTCGTATGATACTATGCAATACCTCTGGTGTGAAATAGTTGCTGTGCGGCGGGCGGGCAGCCAGCGCTGAACGCGCATTGGCGCCTACAAACCTAACGGGGATACTTCACGCATTGCGCAATGCGTGAAGTATCCCTGTTAGGTTTGTAGGCGCCAGTGCGCCGCCGCTCCGCTTTCAGTTAGGCTCTAATATTTAATCTCGCGGAGTCAGCGTTTCTCAACTCGTGACTTTGAAATGTTTGCACACTCTGTATGGATTATTCTCATTTTAATTGATGAAAAAAAATATGTAGTAAAGGAAAATATAATGTGCGTTTTGTAAATATTAAGGTGATTCCGTACAAACTTAAGGATTTACAAAGCACAGGAATTTCTACACAATTTCTTATAGCCTTTGATAGCCGAGGGCGAAAAAGCAACAGCCAGGCGATAAAGTGTAAAGCCCGGCGATAGGGACTATAGCCTGGCAGTATAATTTTTTATCGCTTCGTGTAGCCCGGCCGTATGATTTTTTCCACTTTCTACAGCCAGCTATATGATTTTCTATCGCCCTCTTTAGTCGGCTATAAGAACTCCTATGGTATTTGAAACGCAGCTCCTATCGCCAATTTTTAACAGGGCTGATATACATTAAATTAATTATATAATGTGCAAAAATTTTACTGGATCTCTTAGAGATGAGGAGATACTACATGTAAGGGAGATAAATACGATACAAATAAAGTAAAATTTCTTATCAATCTTAATTTTTCCATTTACCGGCTAAACTATACTGCCGTGCTAAAGAAAAACGACCTATGAACTTTCAGGCGTTACAAAATTTCCCTTGATAAAACAAGATATTCCTGGGAAACTTATGAATATTTTCCTCCAAATTTTTCAGATAATGTGGTTTGCAGTGTCACCTAAGGTTCCTGAAAAGTTAAAGGAAAAATATTCTTAGCTTTCCCCAAAAATAAACATTTTATTGAGGGATTTGGCAACTCTCGAATGTTTATACGGCGTTCTTCCTTAGGACGGCAGTGTAAAAGGCATTTTGCTTTCTCGGGCTTCACTTAGATATATATCAGGATAACTTTGCTTAGGCCCCTGAAACGACTTCATATTACTAGACATCCATTTTAAGTCTCCATCTATTGCACTAGCAAATTAAAGAGCGTGAAAGCTACAAAATGTAGGTTATCTGTAGCGTTTTTGTTCAATATAATATATATATAATATATAAAAAAAATAAAACTCACTGGATCTCCTTTTGGTCCGTCAAGTCCGATTGGGCCCTAAAATGAGCAAAGAAAAACAAAAAGAAAAGGGAAAAGATTAGTGAACGATTTTTTAAAAAAATGACCAATAATTCAGCGCAAAAAACACAAAAGCTGTGAGGAGAGGAAAAAGAGAAAAGAAAATCATTTCCGCCTCAAAGAAAAGATGACAGTAAAGTTTAGAATGAAAACATTTGTGGTTCCTCAAAAGTTCCAGATTATCACACGGTAGACAAAAAAAAAGGCACTACTTATACTCTGAAGACGCTTTTTTGTTATTTTTTTCTTCTTTTTAAAAAAACCGTTTTTTTAAAGAGCGTTTCCCTAGATACATAAAAATGTAATCCAAAGTACTATAGTTTGGACGAGGACATAAGAGTGGTCATCGTCAAAAGAGTGTGAAGAGATTAATTTTTCCAAAACTACGAATTTTAAAAGAATTAAATCAGAGATTAAGACAATGTCTACGATGGAAAAGCAGAAAAAATTCAGTAAATTAAAATATATCATTAAATACCAAAAAAATGTCCAAAAGAATGAGGGAATACGGAAAAGAGAATTGAAGGATGGAAGTGAAACCGCTAGTAGTGTCAAAAAAACTGAGGTTTGGCAAGTGTATTAATGTCATAGAATGTATGTTTACATGGTGTTGTAAATGTTAGTATTAACTTGAGATATGATTGACTTAATTTGTTAAAAGCTTAGTAGCATACAAAAGCTAAGAAAATTACGCGCCCGAGAAGACTTGTACATGGAATGATTGAAGATCACGAGTGCGCCTTCAATTTTGTACACGTTATACCGTCATGCGACTATTCGTGCTTGAGTGTAGGCAAATGGTATCATCTCTAACTGAAGGCGAAATGTTAAGCGACGAGTTCCCCAGCAAAGGATTGTGAGATACGCATTGACACTTCAGCTTTGGGTTGGAGAGGTGAATAAGTTTCAAATTAGGACTCTCCGCCAGTTTAATAGATTAGGCTGAGTTGGATTTGTCCAACTCTCGATGCTTTGATAAGTTTAGTGGGAACGCAAGGTCATAAAATCATTCGAACTAACTTCGCAAGATACTACTTGGATTCGACTTGCTAAGTTGAGCAGTTCAATAGGACGGATGTAGAATTTAACCATAGCGATTAGAATGAGCGAAAAACTACTGCACGCAAATCGTAAAACAATTAGAGCAAAACATATCTGACAGAGACAAGGAAAATAGATTTAAAAGGAAGATTTAAAAAGAAGAGATTTTACAGATAATCAAATCCCATTACTTGAATAAATTGGTTCCTTATCTTTTGCGTTAGAGGACAGGTGGAAAACTGTCTACCCCTTGAGTGACCTTAAAAACTGATTTTTCGAACAGCACGTTGTATCTTTAACTTAGAAAATCAATATTTAAAAAAAAAACATTCAAATTTATGATGACAGAAATAAATAAAATAGTGCTACTCATCATCGTGATTATGGTAAATTATTCTCTCTCTGCAGAACTCACATTCTAAACAATTATAGGAAGCGGTAGAGGTAAACCTTCTGTCACCTATTTCTCAAAAAATTGCGATAAGAAAATACTTTGAGAGAATTTTCTCCAACATATTTAGAGGTTTTTTTTTGGAACAAACGACGGAGAAGAGATATTATTAAGAAAAGCTTTGGAGGTATCTAACAAATTTTCGCTTGAAGTCTTTTTCCCTGGCCCTGTTGCATACTTGCACTGTGTTGGAGGACATTCGCACTTTGCGCAATTGTCCACAAAAAATGGACATTTGCAGAGTACATAAAGCAATGGCAGAGGTAAAAAAAGAGAATCGCTTGCGACGTTACAAAATAACCGCGTTGCTTCATTATTTTTCTGAAGAATAAGTACTATTTCGACATTTTCACACACGCTTTGTGGGGGGGGGGGATAAAGAAAAATCAGCGAAAAATTCCGTTCCCCAGTTTTCCTCTGATGAAATTAAAAATTCAAAGAACCCTGCTAATCAATCGATACTCTTATTTTTTAAACGTTCTCAATCGGCGAGGGAATTGTTAGTATGACAGCATATGTAGAAAGGAAAAGAAATGAAAGTTCAAAATCGAAGAGGATAAAAACTCGCGTAGCACCAACGGAGGATAACTCAAGGTAATACGAATGCAGTTGATAAACCAAAACAAGTGCCCAGGATTCTAAATATTAGCTACAAGAGATTTGAAAGAGGGTTAGTATTAATAGCGGTAGGTGTTGATGTTAGTTGTTACAAGTTGTTACTTCAACACGCATCTTCCACTATGATTTTAATTATTTCTTACCATAGCCCCTCTCACTCCCCTTTCACCCTTGACGCCCCTTTCACCCTGAAAAGTTAAAACTTAGCATTAGAAAGATATATTCATAATTTACACATTGTTCAGGGTGGCCTCGTTCCCTCTGTGCGATTTTTCTTCAGTTTCCCCTTTAATTTTTCATTTTGATTGTAGATCAACCTTCACAAAGTAATCATTATTATACTTTTTTTTTGTTAACTTATGGAGCTGGCAGCTGTCATAGAGGGAAAAATTGATGAATCGTGAATTTTTTTTTAAAATTAAAATGTAGAATTTCCCTCTTAAACCTGGGCTCCCTCTTTGATGAAAATTGATTTGAACGCCACCCTGAGGTCCACTTGCTGAAATGTAAAGAGAAGAAACGAAGTAAACAGTAAATAAAATTTTAAAAAAAAATGCGCTTCGAGGAGACAGTAGGAAGAAATCAATGGGAGAAAAAGACGTTTGAACACTAGAGTATTAGCTAGTGCCTGTCCCTGTTTTAAAGCTGAATGTTCGGACGGATAAGATTCCATCGTGAAGCTGCTGGTCGTATGGCAATTAAAATTTCAAAACTGAGTATCTGGTCAAGAGATTCAGTTTCAAGGGCGCAAAAAAAACGATAGGTGCAGAAAATAGAAAACTTTAGAGAGAGAAACTAAAATAAGAAAATAATAATGAAAAATAATGTACCGGAAATCCGTTCTTCCCAGCAGGACCAGGTGGACCCTGAAATGAAAATGAAAAGAGAAAATAATAAAAAACGGTTACAAATAATGTTGTAGTTAACTCAAAACGAAAAGGGACTCAAGTCGAAATAATCGAAAAATAAATAAAATAAATGCGGCTGAATAAAAATTGGCTAGTATAAACGAATAAAAAGAAAATTATATAAAAAATAAATGCACTTATACATAAAACACCAGTGTCAGTCAGCTGGCGGGTAGAAAGTTTCAATTTTCAGTGTAATCATCCCCTACTCCTAGTTGTTACATGTCGTACCGTACCTAAGTTACTATACATCTGAGTTAGTCCATTAGAAACACTCTACGCAATGTTTTACGTGCTTAGTATTGGACTCTCAGCTAAAATGAAAGAAGAGAGGGAAGGGGGGGATGGCTATTTGAAGGGACTTCAAGCCATTTTTTCCTATCTTAGCAGTGATGAGTGTGTTAAAAATTTGAAGTAAGAAATTGAGAAATTTTATAAAATCACTTATTGAGAGTACTTGGACCAATTAAAACATGATCAATCGGAATTCGATGAGTAAAATGTCTTCAAGAGGTTCAATGACGTTCGTTGGAAATTTATTATTTTGGAATGGAACCAACCCAATGCAATCAGAATGTGCCCTCTTCCGCCAATTCTTGGAGAGGTTAAAGAGTAAGCGTAGCAAAAATTCACAATATCAAGATGAGCTCATGAATTTTCAATGGTTTTTTTCGGGAGACGAGTATCTCAGAATTTTAAAATTCACTGACTTTTCTCCGACTAGTTGAAGTTCGAGCAAAATATTCATTGGATGTTACGCAAGAAAAGGCCTTTTACGAGGTCATGGCGAAGTTCGAGCACTACAAAAAGAGCGCATCGATATCTCTGCTAAGTCGTTCAAAAATTTGGAGAGAAAAAGAAAATTCAATGTTTAATGGCCGAATCCTCTCACTTTTTCACGGTCACTGAATTTTCACGTTTTCCTTAGCTTTGCGAGAACTTATACCACCCCGCTTTTCCGGCTAATCCAGTTACCTTTCTTTCGGCATTCGAAACCCACCCTTGAGTTTTAGGAGCCATGTGGCCCATCAAGCTCGATTTGTAGGGGCCATCGAAAATTTTTGGGGGGCCTAATTGACTTTACACCTATACACCACGGCGCGATCCTCGTTTTCTTGATTTTTTTAAAATGAGGGGGGGAGGGGGGTCAGGCCAAAGTTACGTAATTCAAAAGGAGGATTTAGGGCTGCGTTACGGGTGCGTTACAATGGGGGGGGGGGCAGAGTGGGGAGGTCAAAAAATTGGAAAAAGTGCGTTATGTTTAGAACACTCCTCGAGGTTTAGAACATCGTTTCTTGTAAAATTTCTTACGAGCATTTCAAGTTGGAGAGTGCTGCTAATGAGTCAAATAGTATTCGACCATTTGACTGGTATTTACTCTTCTTGAGCATAAACACACATCATCCATTTCACGCGTGATTGCGGGCAATACCAGCAACATTGCCTCACTCGGTTGAATAACTAGGCTTCCGAGCCTGTCGTATAATAAAGCAAAGCACTCAGATGTTTATACGTTTCCATTTGGCTCCCACCCTCCGGCCCAGCATCCCCAATGCGACTAATATCCAGTAACAAAAACAGCGCCGGAATTGGAAAATATTGGTCTGGACGAAATCCGTGACGTGGTAACTGGCGGCCAAGGCGGTTCAAGGTTACCAAACTGAACCATCGAGCCTCCCTGATTTCCCTCCGCGGCCGAGAAAAAATACGGGATATTCCCGTAGCTTGTCAACCGCGATTGTCGCGACCATGCCTTGTTGTGAGGCAATAATATCGTGTCGAAACAACTGCCCGACATCCACTAAAACTCCCTCTTAACCCCTGCCCCCTTCTCCACGGCTTGTAGCCGTGATTTTTAGTGCTCACACGTTCTCCTCGCGTGTATTTTTAGGCAAACATAAAACTCGTGTTATGGCCGATATATCTCAATTGTATTCCGCTATTGACTCCAGCCTCTAGCGCCTGCCGGTTATGAGAATAGATCCGTGTTACAACTCTGTCGCGACGATGGATATTGGTGTTATCGTGCTTGACAAAATGTTACCGAAAAATATTCCTGAAAGGAAAAGCTCCACGGGTTGGGCTTAAAAATCTACGGGGGTCCATTTCCACAGCCCCCCTCTACACTTTTGAGTTTTACGAAAAAAATTATATCATTGTTTTGTGCTATGATGTGCCGCAAAAAGAAAGTTTGTGCTGCAACATTAAGAGGCGGCACAGAATATCACAAAATTACGATAGAATTTTTTTCTTAAAATTAAAAATCGGGGGAGGGGGCTGTATAAATGGAGCCCATACACGGGGGTCTTAACATAATCCATAGAAACGTGGACGATTTCTCCCCAAATTTAATAATTTAGCACAAGCATACATACGTCTCGGGCAACCTGCAACATGTGACTTTTCAAATATCTCAAGATGTCGAAGTATCTATGTCGGAACGAACCATCCGATATAAGTATTGAGAAAAGCATACGACTTTTAGTCGCCACGCCCTTTGCTCTTTAACATACGTTGGAGGCCATTCAGCCCATGGAAAAATCCTTCATCTTCAGCGAAAAAGGTGTAGGGGGTTTTGGAAATATTGGTGGGAGTCTGTCCGAAGAATTGAAGGCGCTCAGTTATTTTGGATCCTCGCAGTGCAGCCCGCCGCGCCGCGCCGTAGCCGTAGGTGAATCAGTAGAAGTTTAGAAAATCAAAACGCCTTCAGTTCCGTGCGTATGCAACACGACCATCCGTGGAGCCTGAATAGTTGCATCCACACTAACTAAAAGCGCTTTGCTTGTTTCTCTTTCCGATTACAGCGTCGGCTGTTGCGTTCTCAACTTTTGGTCTTTCTATAGCTCATGAGTAACGACAGACGATTTAGAGAAGAGAAGTTGTCTGCGCGTTTCAGTCAGGTCAAAGCTAACTTCGCTAAGATACCTGCAGAAGCCTAAATTTTACACGAAAATGTTTGACTAAAATCTTGAGATTATAATTTTCAAATCTTTAACCTGCAGCGCCAACCCGTGTCCGATAGCGTCAGGAACGGGTTTCTCATGATGAAATAGTCAGATGTCACGATGACGTCATCAGCCGATGTCTCGATGATTTCAAATGATGTCATCAGGTAATGTCACTTTGATACATCATTAACGGGTGCTCGATGAGGTCATTAACCGGGGTTGTAAGTTTAACCAAATTTGCAAAATTCCCTGCGTTTTTGGAAAGATTTCCCTGACCACGGCGCTGAAGATCCCTGACTTTTCCCTGACTTCTTACAAAAAAAGGTTATTTCAAAAACAGCGATGCTAACTTTGAAGCACAGAAATTGTACGAAGCACGCTTATAGAAAGAGAAAATTCCCATTTTTTTTTCAACAAAGTTCGCTGAAAGTCGTAGAGGTTGTGACTATCGGCAACCCAGCGTTACCTGGATCACATTTTGCAGTAAGGAACCACTATTTCTGGCTCATTTTAGAAACAACGTATGAATCGTCAGTTTCCCTATGCAGAAAGGTGCTTTTATAAAAGAGCCAGAGATTATGTGGTTCCTTATTGCAAAATGTAATCCACCTTTACTTGGGGCTGGCATCGAGGCACTTGACTGCGTAGCGGAGTTTTTGGTGCCATCAAAAAGCATCTGCTCCTCATTTTAACATTAGTGCGTGCGTTTTTACAACCTCTGCCATCGCGGCGCGTCTTACAGATTTATCGCTCTCGCGAGGCCCCTTTCGTGAAACTGGGGGCATGGGGGAGTAGCGGGGGAGGCTCATCCCTTCCTTTTAAAGAATAATGCTCTGCGTCGTTATTCATTCCTTTTCCGATGGTTCCTACAAAATAAGCGCGCTCTCTCTGTCTTTCTCACCTCGAAAGTAAAACATATTAAAAGAGTTAAAAGAAATCTGTGGGGATGTAATGGCCTCATACTCAGTTCTTCCTCGACACGCATGTTTAAAGGGGAGAGAGAGGAGATGGAATATCAAACAAAACTTCGAGAGCCAAATATATGTTTTTAAATGATTCACGTGCTAAGTCGAGAGACTATGACAAGTCTATAGACTAAGGACTAAGACTAAACTAGACTAATATGACTAAAACTTGTGACTAAGAGAAGACGCGAGGAATTGATGAGTTATTGGGACGATAGAAGTTATTTATTGTGCTAAAAACAAAATTAGAAGTTCATACTGATTCTTGCAATGAGTGAGAAAATTAAACACGCTGTCATTCATAATGGCTATCGAAAGCTCCCTCAAAACTATCGACGACTTTTTTCTTAATTATGAACGTGTAAAATATGTACAATTTTGAATTAAAGAAGTATTGATTTTTTCCTTTTTCAACTTTTCCTTCGGATGTAGTATCCTCCTTTCTTATCAATTAAATGTAATTAAAATAGGTAAAGTATGACTCAATGTCTGGTGTTCTACAGGGTTTTCAACGCTAAGTGCCTCCAGACATATGTTTCTCTAACTATCTAAAATTTTCATGATGGAATGAACATAAAAGAGAATAATAAGCCACAAAGGTTCATTGACCCTAACCACTGTTTCGCATTCACAGGAATGAAGAGGATAAGAAGTTTTAGTATTTTTGGAGTAATATTTTTGAATTACAATGAAGGCCACTTCATATTGTATTTGAAAATACTACATGCATAACTGTGTTTCAGTTCGGAAAAAAAGGATACTTTTCAACGGTTTGTGTTTCTTTGGAATTTTAAAATTATCTCGTACGACACACACCCACGGAAAAAAAGTTTTAATGGAGCTTTCACTGAATATCCTACGTTTCTCAAGTGCTTTTATCCTTCCATTCTTTTCCTTCAAAAAAAAAAGGGAGAGGAAAGTACCGTTGAACATGTATTTTATTCTTGCGAATCGTCATCTTCACGTATAGTTCGTAATTAAAAACAAGTACCCATCAACGGGGAAACTTTTTGGCCTTCTTACATTATTTAAGTAAACTTCCAAACTAGGAGTTGTGTATGATGAGACCCAGCGGAGATATTTTCCAGCTGGGAGGAAAACACAGAACACTGCTGCCGTGCTAAGGGAAAACGCCGTATGAACATTCGAGAGTTGCCAAATGTCTCCGGATAAAACATGTATTTTTGAGGAAAGATCTGCTAATTTTTCCTTGAAATTTTCCGATATTTTAGATTAAATTGCGAACAAAATTGCCTAAAAAATTTAGAGAAAAATTATGACAATTGTTCTAGTAAATTCGTTTTTTATCGAAGGAAATTCGCCGACGCCTGAAGGCTCATACGGCGTTCTTCCTTAGCACGGCAGACTGGATGCCCGGAGAGGAGGAGAGAGGCGGCGTCTCTGTCTGCAAAGGGACAGACGGAAGGGAGGGGATAATCGGCTCAAGTCGACATAATTAAATAAACGATATTGTTTTCATCATATTTGAAACGCATCTCATGCTCCGTAATAATCTGTCCCGACATGATCCCTAATAAGCTGGTTTGAAGCTGATGAGGGGTCTTTTCACTCTTTTCGCACAGCAAAATCGGATAACGTCACGCCAAATTGAAAATCGTGGAGAGAAAGACCGGGNGGGGGGGGGGATCTCGACGCCCTGGCGCGAGGGCGTCCTCGTGATATCACAATAGTATATTGTCAGAAAATTTTATTTTATTGTGTCAGAAATTCAGTAAATTTCGTTGCACTAATCGTGTTCTTCGTGAACTTTTGGTTCAGCCTCATGCATCAGAAAGCCCGCGGTTTTGTGTTTATAACCATGAAAACTAGATTGTTTCGTTTTAAAAAAAGAAAAATACCTTAAAATATCCAATTTTCTTTTCTTCTCCCTCCCCCCCCCCCCCCCCGTCAAACTTTTCAAAAATTTGGGCTGATATTTAGTTCGAAAAATGTTCATAGAAAACTGGTACTGCAAAACTAACTCTCTTTCCTAAAAATGTGTCAAATTTTGAGGCCCTGGGAAATTTCAATTATATTTCCGATACAATTCCAATTGTTTCCCCCGGTATCGGTGTAAGTTTTGAGGTAGAAAAACGCATCCATTGATTACAAATCAACCGAATTTCAATCAATCTTACCATTGGTCCAGGTTCGCCGGTGTCTCCTTTTTTGCCCTTCTTTCCTCTTTTTCCGGGAGGTCCTGGAGGTCCTGGAACAATAAAAAATAATCCGTTGAAAATCATGAATATATGGAATAGAAGTAATAACAATTACCTCAAGAGAGGTGAAAATACTATTAATTTCGCTTAAACGTCTAAAATTATGTAGTACGAGTAATAACTGAATTTGCCATTTAAAAAAATAAATTAAAGATTTAATATTGATTAATTTAATTCAAAAGTAAAATTTATATTATTGACTTGACTCGAGATGCACGATAAAACTAATATTTCACTGTGTAAACTACTTAATAGAAATTGTTCGTTGTATAGAATTAGATGACTGTAATTAATAGGCGCATTGCCAATACAATCGTTTGCTCCGATTTGTTTGGTGTTTTTCAAAATTGGTTGGCAATGAAGTTTTGAAGAGGACGGACTTCTTTTAAGTGTTTTACTTCATATTTCATAGAACGTTCTCCTTGAACAAAAGGCTCCTGGCTTTCCACCGATGTTTCAAACTTTTTAGATACAAAAATGTCTTTTACGGGACAAGAGAGGCGCATAGTCCTGGCTCTGAACCTACAGAGCACAGAAATGCAATTAGAACCATGCAAAAGTTTCGAACAGACGATACAACGTTTGACGGCACAATTTCTTGACTTCGCTGTGACTTTTCAGGGTCGAGTGATACCTACTAACTTTTCCAGATTTTCCCGCGCGCCTTTTCAGCAACTTCTCATTCTTAACACCAGACACCGTTCTCATATATATGTTCCTTTTTTATTCATCGGGTTGCACTTGTATCATGGCACTTACATTTCTTTTTCTAATGTTTTACTCCTGACTAATGTTTCAGCTTCTTTTCTCGTTTTTATTTTCGTTCCAAGTTTTACTTTTTAATCCACCTGATGGGTGATACAGCCGAAATGGTGGTTTAAGTTTGACAACCGAAGAAAAATTCACATTGGGCGAAAAATAAATGTAAGTGCCATGAGAGACCATTCTCCTTTGGATAGAATCAGAGGCGATTCTTGAAAAATGGCAACACCGTTTTACCTCCTTTTAAATGTACGTAAAATAATCTATTTATGGTGAGGCACATCTATATTTGTAATGGATTTAAATGACGGAAAAACAGTGTTGCCAATTTTAAGAATTGCCAATGGATAGAATTTTCTTCCATTGAAAACGATGAACAAAAACGAAAAAGAGGAGATTCTAGTCTGTAAGCAATCGCAAGGACGAGTTGACAACCATGTCTGTTTCCGAAGCCGTAGCGAGAGAGATTGAAACTAATGAGATGTGTTGCCATTTTATGGTAATCAAGTTGAAAATTTTCATCCCGCTCGGCGAACGATGAGCTTTCCGACCCGCTGCCCACCACCCTCACTNCCTGCCGCCCCCCCCCTCCCCCTACTAACACAAGTTAAGTTTGCATACAGAAATGAAACCAGATTGGACGGAACAACTCGCTTTTTGTTTAAGCCTCCTCGTTATTTACACCGCGTAAGGGGCACCGCCACCCCGCGACAGTGGCGTGGCGTGCTTTGAGATACATCGATTGATCTTCCATTCCGACAGGGCGGTCAAGACATCTTCGAAGTTTGACGCGCCTTCAATCCGGCGGAGCTGCAACATGCTTACACCCGTGGTCAAATAGTTGTATGTCACGCCTGCCGTAAACGAACTCAAATATCGATAAATAATATAAATAATACATCGACTGTAACGTTGCAAACTACGGCAATGCTTTCATTTCAATCAATATTTTTTAAAAGATACGCACAGATTCTCTGAAAAATCTACAATAATTTTACGAACGATTTTACTTGAAATCACGGGGAATTTCGTCGCGATATTATAATTACTCCTAATTTCTTTTTTTTTTCTTTTTCCGAAAAAAACTACTGTCCTTGATTCTAAATCATAGGTAATAGGATCGTTATATTTGTTTTTTATGATGAAAATTAGAGGGGAGTCATAAATAATGACGCATCGTCTAAGTGTCGCACTGATTTTAGCTTTCGTCCCGCCCGCGAGGGTCGGCAGGACGGACAAGACATCTTCGCAGTTTGACGCGCCTTCAGTCCGGCGGAGCTGCAACATGCTTACACCCGTGGTCAAATAGTTGTATGTCACGCCTGCCGTAAACGAACTCAAATATCGATGGTTCATTCCACGCGAAAAGGAGCTTATTTACCTCGATTGTAACGTTGCAAACTACAAATAATGCTTCAATTTCAGTAAATATTTTTTATAAGATACGCATAGATTCTCTGAAACATTTACAATAATTTTAAGAACGATTTTAATTGAAATCACAGGAAATTTCGTCGCGATATTGTAATTACTCCTATTTTCATTTTTTTCCCCGAAAAAAACTACTGTCCCTGATTTAAAATCGGAGCTATTAGAATAGTTTTTTTTTTTTTTTTTTTTTTTCTTTTTTCCCGAAAAAAACCACTGGTCCCTGATTCTAAATCGTAGCTATTAGGATAGTTTTTTTTTTTTTTTTTTCGGTGAAAATTAGAGGGGAGTCATAAATAATGACGCATCGTCTAAGTGTCGCACTGATTTTAGCTTTCGTCCCGCCCGCGAGGGTCGGCAGGGCGGTCAAGACATCTTCGCAGTTTGACGCGCCTTCAATCCGGCGGAGCTGCAACATGCTTACACCCGTGGTCGAATAGTCGTATGTTACGCCTGCCGTAAACGAACTCAAATATCGATGGTTCCATGCGAGAAGGAGCTTATTTCCTTCGATTGCAACGTTGCAAACTACAGTTCCAATAGTGTATTTAGTCCTATTTTCCTTTTTTTCTTTTTACGGAAAAAAAACCCACCGTCCCTGATTCTAAATCGTAGGTAATAGGATAGTTATTTTTTGTTTTATATGGTGAAAATTAGAAGGGAGCCATATGTCATCCCTGTAAATGTACTTGCTCCCTAATTTCATGGAGAGTTTGTCTTGATGTAGAGGTGGACTCTCAGGATAGCGAGGGATATTCCCTCTATTACGCCCTCAACTTTGAGAGCTTCCTTTGGGCTTGGAAGTTGATTTCAGGGAAAACCAGTGGTACTATCGTGTTTCTCACGAACTTTTACATTAGAATCATTAGTCAAATCGCGCAAATTCCTCACACATGCAACATCTCCATTCTTACTTTATCTGCTAGTACCAATGGACGTAAGTACCTCCGATCCTCTAGACCGATGTCAGGCATTCAAAACCTTACCCCGGTAAACTTGAGCCATAATTTCAATTTTCCCAGGAGCTACTGAAATTCGCACAAAATCCGCACCCATGCACTTCCTTTCTCTTGCAGTTTAATTTCATTTCACAGCGCCCCATTCCGCTTTCCTCCGTTTCACATAAACGGATCAGCTGCCAACTTGTTTATAGCTTTTTAAACAGTTAGCGCGCAACTTGGGATTACCCTGCACGGGAGCGTTGCGGACTCGCCAAATTTGACAAAAAAAACCCCGGTTTTTTAACAAACGCGGAGGGAAGCAAAACTGGGTAGAACGCAGAATCTCTGTACATTCCCGAAAAGCTATGTTCATAAGATTATCCAAAGTTTCACAACTTATCCTGTAAAATTCGCCAGTGGCTGCAGATCGTGGCATACGGAAAAAATTAAATTGCTGATTTAACGATTCAATTGCTAAAAAAAAGTGACTGTAATGTGTCCATGTAGATTTTACAACACGAAATGCTACTTTAACCACCCCCGTGGTTGAATTAGCCTACAATAGTGGTTAAAGTAGCATTTTTTGTTGTAAAATCTACATTGAAACATTGCAGTCACTTTTTTTAGCAATTGAATTATTAAATCAGCAATTTAAGTCTTTCCGTGCAAAGAGATTCAACCGCGAGGGAGTGGATTGAGTCAATTAAAGAGGTCGGTCATGAAATTGTTGACAAAAACTGCAAATTTTGGTGTTGATTTCGACTTATTTTTGAGTTCAAGGGTTGCATCTGGAAGAAAATTTCACGAAGAAACCAATAGAACCACTTTTAGAGCCTCAATGTTTGGGAATAACGGAGTTACGAGCGTTTGGAGTTTCCAAATTCCGCTCGACCTCTCCTATTGACTCGATCCACTGAGTGGCTGATGGTGCAGCTTTCTGAGCTACGGCTTCCCATTTGAGCGTTACGTAATTTAGAGACGGCCCCAAGGACTACTTGTTCTTATCAGAGAAAACAATTGAAATTGGTTTTCGATGTCCATATTAAAAGAAAACTGGAGTTTGCGGTGTGATTTGACGGCGATGCGCCACACTTTCCGCGCCGCGCCGCGGATCGTCTTCATAAAGTGAATCATACTCGCGAGAAAACTTTGCTGGCGTTAGTTTTTCTCGCCGTGATTCGCTCGGGCTCGGATCCGGAGCGTTTTCGCGTTTTTATGAGCTTCTCCGCGGCGACTCGTGCGAGGATTCGGGCTCCTGTGCGGTTGCCGAGTTAATAAAGCTCATGCACAAGGAACCGGGCGTCTCCACTGCATCGAATAATGCGCAACAGTTCGAGGAAAAGTTCCGACAGTGAGCTTATATTCGGCAAAGCTCTCGTAGATCGTAATTTGAAATGACACTTAACCTCAAAACCGAGGACATCTCCTTAGGGATCGTCCCTAAATGGACCGCGGTAAGCAGAAAGGAACCAAGCCCCATCAGCTATTGCCAAATTAAATTGGGTATTATAATATTTTACATGAAAACGGTTGTGCGGGTTTTTGTGCAAATTTCGGTGAGTTTTCTGCATAGTGCGAACACAATACCTTAAAATTTTCAAAGAAATCCGCACAAACGGTCTCTTATAAAAAATTAAATTGCCTGGTTAAATTTGGCAATAGCTGATGTGGCTTGGTTCCTTTCTGATTAACGTGCTCCAAATTACGTAATCAAGGAGAGCGTTACGCCTTTTTGTTTTTATCGTTAAAGGATGGGGACCTACTTCACAAAAGCGTTATTCGGGGGAGGGGGGTGTAAAATGCCAGAAAAAAGCAGTATGTAATTTAGGAACTGCCCCTTAAACTATACTAAAGGAGCC